AAAAGAGAGAAAAGAGACTAAGAAAGAGAGTCAGAAGGTGCCTAAAAGATTACCGTACAGGCACTAATGAAAATTCATGCAGACTGTCTCCTGGTCCCAGCCCCAAACCCCAAGTCTGGCTGCGATTCTTATTCTTGGAAAGAAAATTGGGGGGGGGAAGAAGACGGCTTCTTTCTTATTCAGCACACGAAGCCTCGATAGCACAGGGTGTTTATGTAGTTCAAGTCTGCTCCCGACAGATGACAAGATTCCCCAGATCAGGGACCCCAAGGGTTTCTTTCTCTCCTCTGGAGTTTCAGCTTCAGCCTTTGAAAGAGAAACCAAGCCAGGGACCTCACACTGGGGACAGAATGCGAGCTGCAGGCGGGAGTGAGGGAGGTGGCTTTTGGTCCTGGCAGGGAGAGGGGAGTGAGCACTGATATTTGAGTTGTCTGTGAACTGTCAATTCATTTGTTTACAGTACCAGAGAGAATAAGATGAATATTTATAGGCTTTTTTTTTTTTTTGAGACAGAGTCTCGCTTTGTCGCCCAGGCTAGAGTGAGTGCCGTGGTGTCAGCCTAGCTCACAGCAATCTCCAACTCCTAGGCTCAAGTGATCCTCCTGCCTCAACCTCCCAAGTAGCTGGGACTACAGGCATGTGCCACCATGCCAGGCTCATTTTTTCTGTATATATTAGTTGGCCAATTAATTTATTTCTATTTATGGTAGAGATGGGGTCAAGCTCTTGCTCAGGCTGGTTTCGAACTCCTGACCTCGAGCGATCCGCCCGCCTCCGCCTCCCAGAGTGCTAGGATGACAGGCGTGAGCCACTGCACCCAGCCTATTTATAGGCTTCTTAGTGCCTGTGCTGCTGGACTGGAGAAGTGGATTTCTAGAACTCGGGCGAACGAACTGGCCAAGCTCCTGCTCTGCAGTCGAGGAGCCTGATGGCCGGGAATGCAGGGAAGGGGAGAGAGATTTACATGCACCTCATTAGACCTCCTCCTCGGCAAAGAGTCCTCTGCCTGGGCTCGGTGAGAAATATTGCTGTCCAGAGCCACAGAGGACGTTTCTACCAAATTTCAGCACTGGTTCCGTGGAAGGGCTCCCCCCCATCTCTCTGTGGTGGGGAGTATGCCGCCCCCACCGGGGGTTTGGGGTAACTGAGTCCCGACCCACAGTTTGCGGGAGAGACAGCAACCCTGAGGCAGGAGGAAGCTCAACAGGACTGGTCTGTGGCACGTTCCTGGGAGAAGCTCCCGGGTGCAGGAGGAAGAGTGGAGGTGAGGGTGGAATTTGTCCCCTGGCCCAGCTGGGCACACGTGCGGGGCACACCGCCCGACCTCTTGGCCCCTGACCCAGGTTGGTAAATATCTTAAATAGCGTGCCTGCCTTCTCCCTTTGGAATTAGACAGATTCTGATAAACTTTTGGGGACAAAAAAATAAAAAAGAAGAACATCCGCTCCAGCAGAGTGATGCATTTACCTGAGCAAGTGAGGGTCTAGGCCGGGACACCAGGTGAGAATGTTCTAGCAAGTGTTACACAGGTAGTGTTAGCAGCGAGTGTGCACAGTGCTTGACCAGGGAAAGAACTGAGTGGCACCCGGAGAGTCGGAGAGTCGGCCCCTGTTCCGCCAGCAGGCTCAGCATGCCACCAACGTCTGAGCCCCCTTCCTTGTTCTCCTCCAGTTTTTATTCCCTTCTGTAGGGTTCAAAAAAGCATCCAATCAGCAACCAGCTTTAACGTCCAATCAGCAACAAGCTTTAACCCTTTGCGCTTGCTTTTTTCTCAATTCCTTTATTCTCCTCGGGATTTAATTTTTTAAATACCCTAGATTTTACAGAGCGTGGCAGTAGAATAATAAAACTGGAGTTTCTTTTCATACAAACGTATTTGTTTGGATTTATGGTTCAAATTATTGACACATTCAAAGAGTCATTTTAATCTCTGTAATTTGTCATGGTGTGGTATTTTTTGAAACATTCACCCACACGAAGACCTGGTTTACGTCCACATGTCTCGCAAATATAAATCGTCTCTCTTCTTCCTCCTTTGATTTTTCTGTTAGAACAGACAAAACCACCTTTGTGTTTTTTGTTAGGGTGAGGTGTGATTGTGTGGAGCTTTCCATCTAAACGTTGCTCTAAGTCAGTGGATAATAATCCACCCCTGGGAGTTGGTGTACCGTCTCCGCATTTACATTTTACTTGTCCTTTCACGCTAATGAAAACAAGAAAAGATACTGGAAAAATAGACAAAAATCCCCCTCCCCCCGCGGTGGAACTACGTGTCGAGTGTGGCTCCACGTACGAGCTGCGACCGATGCCAGCCGTGTCGGGTCACACTCGACAGCCGAGTGCAAAGGGTTAACATCCAATCAAGATTACGCCTCACCCGCCCACCCACTCTAGGAGCGGGACCTGCAGGGAGGCCGGGAGTGGCCCTGTCCCGGCGCCGGGCGGTTTTCCCTGTCCAGAGAAGGGCTGGCGCGTCCTGAATGCTGTGGGAATGCTGATTTAGAAAGACTGTAGAGTTGGTCCTCCAGACTGGCACATGTTGGAGAGAGGAAGTGGGAAACCAGTAAGGACCAAGCCAAGATACAGGTACAAACATGAGCATCCCTGGCCAAAAGGGACATGTGGTCATTCCACTTTTGTGCCATGAATCCAACCGCTCTGACCAAGGACTGGGCAGCGGAGAAGGGAAAGCATGCAGGTGCTGAGGAAGAAGGAAGGATGCTGGATTGGGGCAGGCTAGCACAGCAGCTGGTGAATTGTATTTGTTCTATTACTGTTACGGGAAACAAACCGAGAGCCACACGAGAGTACTGCAAAACAGGCTTAATACGCCGGCGGGCTCAGAGGGGTCTCTCCTCCCAATTCTGAGCAATATGGGTGCAGGCATGGTGGCTTTTATACGTTTTGTTAGGAGGAAGCTGGTGGCTATAAAGTCTGCAGGAGATTGAGGGCCAGTCCAATGTGACTCTACAGTTGCTTAGTCATGCTATTTTGCAGAGTTGGCACAGGATTGAGATCTAGTCAAATGTCGCTCTACAGTTGCTTAGTCATGCTTGTTTGCAGTTATGCAACTACTAGGAAGGGAGTGGAAAAATTCTCCCTCACATTCCCCTGCCCCCTTGATGTCCCTGAACGCGCTGTGGCCATCGCCACTGCAGTGGAGGGCATCACCTAAGTTGTTTAGTGGAGGGCCGTGATGCGGGTGTAGCCCCTCGGGTGACTGTGGTTTCTGCAAACCTAATAATCTGGCTGAGAACACAGGGCCCTGCAGTGACAAGGAGGAGACTGGTCACCAGGGCGACCATCGGTCCCCAGTTGAGCCCTAACCCCAAGTTTTGGCTTTCTCGTCTTTTTCGTCGGACTCTTTCTCTTAGTTCTTTTATCTTTTCTGTTACTACCCTGATGGGTTGCCATGGTAACAACCCTCCTCCCCCAGGAATAGGCGGGTTCCCCCTTTCTCAGCCGCCAGGAGATCTCGAGTTCTCTGGTTTTGAAGGGTCGCTGCTGCTAAGGACTTTAGTTGACCCTGGAGGGTAGCCATGGAGTCTGCTGTCCGTTATGTGTCATCTCCCAGTTCCCAGGATATTTTAGGGTGAATGTGTAGCGAGGTCCCCAAATCTGGCCCCCATGCTCATTAAAATGCCTGCCCCTGCGAGGAGTGGGGTGAGCAGAGGGACTGCATGTTTTTTCTGGACATTTAGGGGAGGGTTTAAGGCAGATTTGGGAAGTATTATAGATTGAAACATCTGGGACCAGGAATATTTGGGTACACACCCCGGCCCAATCGTCCAGAAGACAGAGGTATAAAGTTTTGCCCCATAGGAAGAACATGCCTTCATCGGACAGAGAACACTGGAGCTGTAGGTGCGATTTTTATTGCATAGATCACCTGGGCGAGTCCCTACAGGCTTGCTCTGTCTTGAGCTGAGCAGGCAAGTGACGTTAAATGACCTGGCCAGATGTACGCGACCAGATGTTACTGGTCCAACTAGGAGGGTTGTGTTGGGTTCTGGTGCAGGGCCTCTCCCACCTGTGGGTGTTGGGATCCCCAGGGACAGTTAGTTGCCTATTGAGGGGTGGCAGATCCAACATCGGGCCTGATTAGGTAATGCCTTAAGTGTGCTATTATTAACAAACCGGGCTGTCTCTTGAGGGACTTGGCAGAGTTTTGGGAGGCGGGGAAAGTGGCCTTTGGGGTGCCCACCCCTCGATTTGCATGTTGCTTCATCAGGAGCCCAGCAAGCCATGTCCCCTCGTCTTCCCTCACAGGTACTTCCTATTCAACACCCTTCCCAGTATTTTTTGTTGTCTCCTGACACATTCCGGCGTAGGCGCTGTGGTTTAAGGCTGGAACTCATAAGTGCCACGGGGCCTGTTTCCAGGCCATCAATCCTGCTTACATATTTGTGGCAAGAAGGGGAACATGGGTTTTGAGTGTTTATGTGTGTGAGCAAGGAAATACCAATGTTAAAAAAAGATTTTTAGTTGCATCTTGTATCAATAACCTGTATTAAGTGGATTGTCTACAGGAATACCCAAATTAGAAATAGGAGCCCCGTGATAGCCCAGTACAATGTGACGAAACAATCTTTTACCCTGTCTTGGGGGGCGATGGAGTAAAGTCCAGTGCCCAGTCGTAGGGCCAAGAGTCCTGGTGAGCCAACCAGTCTGGTCATTCTGGTCACTGTGTCGGGTCTTTCGAGTCTTGCTGTCCAGGTCCTCTTCAGATGATGCTGTTTGTCCTCGGCTGTGGAGGACCCAGGGAGGTACTCCTGCAGCCTGAATAGCAGTGGGCGTGGTTGGGGCCACAGCGTGGGGGCCTGGCCAGGTGCTCAAGCAGCCACCTCTTTCTCCAGTCTTTGACTCACACAGAGTCTCCCGGGGTGATGGGGGTGGACAGGGTACCCCACTGCTACGGGTGTTCTCTCTGTGATTGTGATGAATTCTGTGCAGGGCCTTGGACCAGGAACCAAGCTGAACTTGTGGAGTGTTGTCTTAAGCAGCCTGATTATGGGTGGGAGCCTTCCGTAGAGAGTCGCAAAGGGTGAATATCCTGACAGCCCCAGGGAACATGTGACTCTGAGTGAGGCCACGCAGGGTGGCCCGGTTTCCTGGCACTTCATTGCGAGGGTGTTTTTTTGTTTTTTTAAAATTATTTTAGCGTATCATGGGGGTACAAGTGTTAAAGTTACGTATCTTGCCCATGCCCCCCCCTTGAATAAGAGGTGTCCATCCCCCACACGTTGCACATCTTACCAGTTCATGTGCAGTACTTTCCCTGAGCTTTGGGGGCTACATGCCGTATGGAGCTTCCACTCAATCCCTAATGCTTTGCTAAAGTCTGCCGTGAAGCTCGGCCTGCCGTCGTTGCCTCTTGAGAGTGGCAGCCTGTGGCAGGGCAGAACTTCCCTTAGGAGCACCTTTACCACTCCCCTTCCCCTTTCAGTTCGGGCGGGGATGCCTCCACCCCTCCCGGGCGGGCACAGGTCGTCCATGACCCCTCCCGGGTGGGTGCAGGTCGTCACTAACAGGTATTTCACTCCTTAGCTCAAAAAAGCCCCCTTCTGTATCTTCAACGGGAGATGCTCTGGCTGCCTGTGGCCAGCCTGGGCTGCACTATTTGTGGCACGGACGGTTGGTGCCATGGACGGAAGCTTAGGGATGCAACGGCCAAGCAGGTGGGGGAGGACTGTGCTGGCCAGCCTCACTCTCTCGCACGGAGACCCAGCCACCGGGCGGACTCCGCCACCCTGCCTCGGTCTGTTCGCACCGCTCTCTCTTTGCACACGCTGGGCTGTGCCGTGCACGTCTGGGCCCTTCTGGTGCTAGGGGAATTTTACCAGCCTGGCGCCTTGTGCCCTGTGTCTGTGGCCCTTGTGCCACTGTAGCCTTTGCTACAGTTCTGTCTGCCCACTGATTTCCGAGGGTGACTCTGGGTCTGTTCCTCCCTGGTGTCTGTGACGCTGTGACGCAGCTATTTCTTGAGGCTCCTAGCCCACATCCAACAGCGGTAAACTCTCTTCCTTTCCTCCTAGAGTCCCCCTCCTTGACAGAGGGCCCCACGTACGTGCCGGCTGCTCCTCGCATAGTGGCAATCTGTGTACATATTTGCTCCTTTCCCTCTGCGCGTCTCAGTGCCTGGATTAGGGCCCCTAACTCTGCTGAGCGGCGCCCCCCCCAGCAGGCAGGGGCTCGGCTAAGACCCCCTTGTCTTTGGTTGGGACTGCATATCCTGCCTTCCATTGTCCGTCCTGGACGTGACTGCTGCCATCTGTAAACAGCTCCACTTCTGGATTTGCCCGGGGAGTATCCCTTAGTCCTGGCCGGCTGGCGTAGACTTCCTCTATCAGCTCAAGGCACTCATGCTCTGGGGGTCCTGGGTCGATGGGCAGGAGGGTGGCGGGGGGCAAGGCCCGCTCTGCCTCATCTGTGGGCTATCACAGAGGAGCCCTTGATGCTGCGCTGACCGGCTGCTAGAGGCCACCAGTGCCGTGAGTTGTCGAGGAGTTGGATGCCGTGCGTGGGGTGTGAACTTTTCAGCTTCTTTGCGAAGGCGGCCCATTGCCGCCGTCACTGCCCTTAACAGGAGGGCCCTCCTGAGGCCACCAGGCTTTGCCCGAGTCCCGTGGTCATATTCGTCAACAAACAGGTTAAGTCTTTAGTGTGAGCCCAGGAGCCATGTAGCTGATTCTGCAGGTCTCGCAGGGCGTCTTCCCGCTCTGATCCCCACTGCGGCTCCCGAGTCTGAGGCCCCGCAGGGCCTCACAGGGAGGTCTGGCCATCGGTGCGAAGCCCCGTCTCCATGTTCAGCAGGATCCCGCCGCTCCTAGGGACTCCTGCCGCGTGCTTGGTCTTTGGAGGGAGCAGGTTGCATGCACTCGTCCTGCCCGGGCTGTCTTCTTCCTTCGGTGATTTTAAGACCCAGGGGTGTGACGGCCTGTCGGCGAGTTTCCCGTCGTTACCGTGCACTCCCCTTGGGTTGTGCGCCAGGAGGACGTCATCCGCCTACTGCAGTAGAGTGCAGCGGAGCTGCCCCGCGGGGACGAGTCTAGACCTGCGCCCAGTGCTTCCCGAGAGATCCCCGGGGAGTTCTGGAAACCTCGTGGCAGCCTGGTCCAGAGGAGCTGCGTCTTCCCAGTCGAAAGCACAGAGGGGCTGGCTCGCCGGTGCCACCCAGGTGCAGAAGAAAGCGTCTCTTGGGTCCAGGCAACTGAACCACGGGACGGGGCTCAGGAGCGTGTAGGGCGGGCACTGCTGGACGGAGGGCGACAGGGGTGGCTTCGTTTACAGCCCGTGGAGTCCTATCAGGCTTCTTCGCTGGGAGTAGGGGTGTTCCATGGGGACTGGCACTCTCTGAGGATGCCTTCCTGCAGAAGTCTGTCTAGGGGAGCTTGGATCCCCTGCCGCGCTTCTCCAGAGATGGGATATGAGCTGCGTTCCCACTCCACTATGGCTGCAGCCCTTCCAAGAGCTATTTTGAAGTTGCCGGTGTAGACATTCATTTGTCCAGTTTGCTTGCAGAAAGCACACAGGTCTCTTGTTTGTGCAGCCTGACTTTCCATCCGTGTCCCGGCAGGGATGCAGGAGCAAGGCCTCTGGGCCCCACAGTCCTGGTTTTGAGCCACTTCCATTAACGGGGTGACATTTATACCAGCAAATGCATCTAGCTTCTTTCTCCAGCGTGTTGTATGTCTGGACATGCCTGAGCCATGAAGGCAGCGTTCACCGTTCGCTGATTTTCTGGGGTTTCGGGATCAAAGGGGGTTGTAAATTCGGTAGGACTCGCACAGACATTCGTAGAAATCACTGGGAGTTTCGTCGGCCTTTTGGGCGACCACAGCCACTGTGTTCGTGTCAGTGGGCTTCCTTGCTCCTTCTCGGCCCCATCCAGGAGGGCTTCTCGGTGGGCGCCCCTCATCCTTCTGGAGTGTCAGAGTCCCAAGCAGGCACAGCGTCTGGAACTTAGGCTGGGCCCACGCCACCTGCTACGACTCGGGCCGTGTTGAGCAGGTCGGGAGAGCTGCTGACGGCCCCCTCAAGGGGGTTGATGGGTCCAGCAGATGCTCTGCAGCAGGTCGATCCTGGCCTCGTGTTGCTGCAAGGCGCACAGCTGTGTCACGCCCTGGACCGGGGAAGAACCGAGCGGCAGCCGAAGAGGCGGAGAACAGCCCTTATTCCTCCAGCAGGCTCAGCCACCTTCTGACCCCTTCCTTGTTGTCCTCCCGTTTTTATGCCCTTGGCAGGACTCAAAAGCACCCAATCAAGATCGCGTGGCTGAGCGCAGGCCTGGCCGCGGGCGTCAGCATGCAAGGCCGGCCCGTGGAGAGGGGGCGCGGCCGTTTTCCCTGAGTGTGAAGGAGGGTGCTACTTCCCCTGCAAGAGACCGGTGGTAGAGAAGGGCTGGGGTCCTGCCCCAGCGTGAGCTGGGTCGGCTTCCGACCTCACGTGAGCTGCCGGAGGCGCTTCTGCGGTGTCACCAGGCCTCGGGAGGGGGTGCTGGTGGTGGCAGGGGGGCAGGCGCTGAGCAATTTCCAGCCAAGAATCTGTATAAGGGCCCTGATCGGGGTGTCCAGTTCCAGACAGCTCAGAGAGCAGAACGTCTAGAGTTCCTGCCCCAGGGCCACCCTACTCCAAGCTAACTCACAGAGACTCTGGAGACGCCTGTCTGCCCCTCTCAGGGTGTGCTGTAGGGTCCCCAGGAGCTGACAGTCGTCTTCCACCCTAGAAGGCGTCCAGCCTTCGTCCCAGGACGGTCTGACCCTGGGGTGAGGCCTGGGACCATCTTACCGCGGTTCAGTTGGCCGTTTCTGGTTCCACGTGCTCTTTCTGTGTCCGGTGGGTTCGAGGAGTCCCTTCTGGAGGAGAGTGGCCCCAGTGGGGGTCATGGCACGCCTGGATCCTCCCCAGGGTCGGCCGGTGGGCTCAGAGGGGTCCAAGCTTGGTGGTGGTTATACGTTTTCTCTGGAGGAAGCAAATGGCTACAGGTCTGGGCGAATGTCACTCTACAGTGGCTTAGGTGTGCTGTTTTACAGTCATGCTACTACTAGGAAGGGAGTGGAACAATCCCCCCCCCCCATACAACATGGCTGGCTGGCCTCACCAAACCAAGGGTTTGAAGTCCACGAGCTAAAATTCCTGAAGCAGCAGGACGTGGCACAAGATGATGCCTGTTCCAAAGAAAGGCATTCCGATTTAAAGACTGTATTGGCCAAAGCAATCATGGCTGAGGGTGTAAGGGAAAAATTTTGCACGCCTTCCTAATAATAGCATGGTTAGGCAACCATAGAGAAGCACGTGACTACACCTTAGCCTTGTACAAACTTTGGGACTCCTAATAGCAGAACTGAAAAATAGCAACTTTTGGAACCCTTACCTCATCCACACCGTACCAACATTTACCACCAACTTCTTCATAACAAAGCATATAAAAACCAGCATATTAGGCCGGGCGCGGTGGCTCACGCCTATCATCCCAGCACTCTGAGCAATCCTCCCGCCTCGGCCTCTCAAAGTCAGGAGTTGGAAACCAGCCTGAGCAAGAGTGAGACCCCGTCTCTACTAAAAATAGAAAGAAAAAATTAGCCGGGCATGGTGGCACATGCCTGTAGTCCCAGCTACTTGGGAGGCTGAGGCAGGAGGATCGCGTGAGCCCAGGAATTGCAGGTTGCTGTGAGCCAGGCTGACGCCACGGCACTCACTCAAGCCTGGGCAACAGAATGAGACTCTGTCTCAAAAAAAAAACAGCCTATTTTTAATTCCATTATGCTGAGATTTTGGAGGCGAGACCCCTCTGAGCCTGTCGGCGTAATAAAGAGCCAGTTTTGTAGCACTCTTGGTTTCTTTCCTGGTCCTGTTTGCTGTAACAAGAGCAGGGCTTTCCCAAACATGACTTCTTTGAGTGTCAGCTTGACTCTGTGGAGTGGGCAGGGAGGATCGAGACTGCCACCTCCTTTATAGGTGTAGAAAAACAGGACCAAGGACTCCCCTCCAAGACAGGGCTGTAGGACCCGTGGCGGCTTCCCACGGGCTCCCTTCCCTTAGGTCAGCTTGACGACACTTTGCTGCCTCTGCCTTCCTTCATTCTCCGCCAGAAAACTCGGAATCGTGCCCGAACACGCACAGCCGTCCTACCTGAGGGCCTCTCCCCGTGTCCTCTGCACTGCTCATTTCTGGTCCCTTTCTCCGAGCTCATGCAGTTGCATGGTAAGCCCCGCACGAACGTCTTTGCAAATGGCCTGAGTGCAAGTAGAGAGGATTCATAAATAAGTTGCAAGGTAATTGATGCTGTGAAAATGCCACAGCCTGGATGGGAGTCTGTCCTTTCAGCGAACCTGCCTACTCACCAGAACGGGCCTCCCCGATCACTTCCGCATCCGGTGGGTGGCACCTTTAGCCCTGTGCTGTCTCGGTGATTAGTGTCGCCACTCCGAAGGGCTATCTGTACCGCCCTTTGTCTTGTTTATGAATGAAGGGGCCTCGAGACTTCCTAAATGGGAGGGAAACAGGAGCTGCACGTCCTGGCTCAGTCACCATGGCCGCACTGGTCCAGAACAGAGAGGACACTTCTCTTTTTTATTTTTGTCACTTTCGCTGGTTTGCTGTCCAGCAAAGAGGCTGAGAACAGGGGCTTTGGGGTGGGGGAACCCTGGGTTTGAAGTTCAGCTCCTCCACCGGCCCACCCTGTGAACGTGGTGTTGCCTTCTGAATCTGTGCATCTGAGGAAACGGGCATCGCCAGGACTCATGGCTGTGGCACTGGCGTGAGTTCCGTTAAACAGTACGTCATTCAAAGCACAGGCTCACAGTGAGTGCGTACACGTGGCAGCCATGGATTATTGTTCTTCTGAAATGCTATCCATGACTTTATTCTGTGTTAGAAAATAATCCCATGGGGTAAGCCCATGTTTGTGTTCTGTTCTATGACTTAGGTGACAAAAGGAAGTCAACTTCCAGCCATCCTTTTCTCTGTCCCCTTGTCTTAGAGTATAATGGAAGGTCAACGTACTTACACGAGGTCCCTCCTCACAGTTGTCTCTAGTTCTGCAAACTGATCCACTGGAACAAACGAGTCTGGCTGATGACAAGCTCATGACCAGTTGCGACCCTTCGGCCACAGGGGCATCCGAGTAGGCTATTTCAAAGGAAAGCAGAAAAGCAGGCAAATGAATGCTAACATTTCATCAAAAAGGTGGATTTGCCTTGTTGGCAGAGACCTACGTGAGAAGCGTAGTCAGATTTGAGGCCAAAGAGCAAGAAATTTTTTTTTTTTTTTTTTTTTGCAAAATCCCCAAAGCTGGGAAGTACAAGCTGCTTCTTTTAGCTTCTCTAATGAATCATTCCTGTATCTGCTGAAAGTTTTTCTCCAAAGCTTCCAAGGAGTAAATCTCATAGACCCAGGGCCCAAGTGTCATGCTTAAGCCCCAGCCCTGTTAGCTTCCTTACCTGGGACTCTTAGAGCCACGGTGGCCACGTACTTACCTGGTTCATCTCCTCTCTGTCTGTCATCCTTGCAGAAGGTACTGTCACTATTATTTAGTCACCTTCACCAGGAACTCTAACTGAAGGGAAGGTCTCCTGCCCCTAGCTCAGATGGCTAGGGAGAACTAAAACACCTTCACTGGAGGGGGTCAATAATAGGCTCACTCTCTCCTTTTTTCTCTCTGCAATTGGTTATAAGGAAGAACTATATATAATAACTAATATTGACCCTAAGGATCAGACCTGGAATTTGGAGTTGCAACATGAATATCTTCCCATTTCTGATCTCATTTTCAATGACTAGCATTCAATTTCCCCTTCTCCCTGTTGGAATCAGAGTTTCTTTTTGCATAAGCAGGAAAGGTTTCTCCAAAAACACTGTGTAGGCTGAATTTAGCTAAGTGCTTGAGATGAAACGGGAAGATGGGAATTACTGTGTATGCCTCTGTACACACACAACACACATGTGCACAAAGCCAACGACCCTCCAAAAGTGTGCTGTGGGTATGTGCTCCAGATAAATAAGATGCATGTCGAGCCAACCCACAAGACTTTCACTAGGTGTGGGGCAGTCACCAGGCACCCATGTAATGAGCTCCCCACAGGGATTGAAGATGTTTGAAAAACACTGAAAACTCATGGCTTCAATGGCAAACTTGTTTGTCTGTATTTCAAATGCTGATTCTAAGCTGCTGTACAGCACGGTCTGTTTTCTATTTGTTTTCTCCCTTTGAAACCAGTTAACCTCTCAGGTGAACAAAGAGGAAAAGTGTGCTTTCAGCATCAATCTGTACTCCATGTGTGTGCCCACAGGCAAGGGTACGGTTGCACCTTAGTGCTTCATTTATAAGGAAATTTCCAACCCGACTGTAAGCTTTGGAGCATTCCCAATTGTTTAGCATAAAACTGAAAAAGCATTTCCAATCTCCAATTGGACTTCTCTCCTGACCTTTACAGCCACTGCCTTCATTCAGCCCTCATCAGTTTTGGGGGTGTTGGTTTCCGTGGGGGTTTTGTTATAGTTGTTTTGCTTTTGTTTTTTTTGTTTTGTTACTGATATTGTTTGCTTTTGTTGCTGACACTCCTATAGAACTTACTTTGAACCAAGCACTGTTCTCAGTATTCTATAGTTATCAATTCATTTAGTCTTCAAGAAAAAGAAGAAAACTAGTACCAATTGTAACAATGACAACGACTCATTGACCCTTTTTAAAATGCCAAGTGTGATGTATTCAGCCTTTCTTCTGTGTTATTGCAATTAGTTATTTCTCAACTGACAATCCTAGGAGGGTTATCTTCACCACCATTTTATAACAAGGAAACCAAGGCTCAGGGAAGTGAGGTCACTCTGCGATGGCCCATAGCAATGGTAGAACAGAGCAGAAAAGTCAGGTCACAATGCATGGAAAAGGAATGGCTGCCTCCCTTTTCTGCACACGCTGAGGATGTTTTCCTGGGACGGCTGTCTTGATCCAAAGGAAGCGGCCATCAGTGACATTTAGGACCTGAGTTGCGGGTAGAGATCGTTCCAAGCTTTTCACAGACTATCAAAGCTAGAAGAAACCTCAGAGCATCACGGCCAGCTTCTCTCAAGACATAATTCAAGGACCACCAGTCAAGAAATCACTAAAATACAAATTACAGTCTCAGGTCAGACCCCTTGAACTAAAGAGGCGGCTAGAAGTGAACTTTCATCACTAAATCTGTGTCCTGTGCACGCCAGATCACTGTGGACCAACGCTTTCACATCACGAACAGGAAACTGAGGTCTGGAAAAGGCGTGTCACCGTGTCCATGGCATCAGAGCCTTTCTCCAAGGTTGCACTGAACAAGTGTGGTTCAGTTGCTCTGGGGATGACTGTAGGCAAGTGCTCATAAGAGGCCACTGATATGACAGTAGTCCCCTTGACCCGTGGGGACATGTTCCAAGATTCCTGAAACCACAGGTCATACCAAACCGATATACACTGTTTTTTTCTGTATATACATGCCTATAATAAAGTTTATAAAGAGATTAAAACCAATAATACTAATGTGATTATAGCCCTATGCCAGCATCTCTCCTGGGGCCATTGCTAAGTAAAATACGGGTTCCTTGACCACAGCACTGCGACACCACGGCCGCCCATCTGATTCCCTGGATAGCAGTGCAGACAGCACGGATTCCCTGGGAACAGGGATGACGCCTCCTGGGCCTGGTGGGGCAGTGTGAGATTTCATCATGCCGCTCGGAATAGTGCACAACTTAAAACTTATTAATGGTTTACTTCTGGAATTTTCCATTTAATAGTTCCAGGCTGAGGTTGACCGCAGGTAACTGGAATAGCAGAAAGCAACGCTGTAGACAAGGAGGGGAGACCTGCAGGCATCCCTGTCTCCTACCCTGATTGGCCACTGCCACAGCCACCTCTAACTCAAGGTTCAAAGTTAGTTACCAACTCTCAATCTATGGACAAGCGGAAGCAGGGGCTCTGGTCTTTCCGATGGCTAGGAGGAGAATCTGTGCAGGTTAGGGGTTTGGAATCTTCCCCAGAAATGCATGTGAAAACCACAAAACTTAGTTACATCTGCGACGACCCTTTTGCTCAGGAGGTGTCCCTGTCCCAGAGATTCAGGGGGGGGAGGCTTGTGCGCTCCACGGTGCTGGCCCACCTCCAACTGACTTCCTGGTTTGGGAATTCACGTTTATGCCTTGAAGGCGTCACTGTAAAGTGCCGTGCCCCTTGAATGGGACCTGGGGGCGGGGGGTGAGATTTCTCCCTTACCTGCCAGACACTGAGGGTTTCGTGACGAGAAGGAAACCACGATGACATTCTGCTTCCCCAGAGCACCATGGGGAAATGCCTTCTCACCCTAAACAGAAATCTGGTCATCCTTGCCCTCTCCAGAAGTTTTAGATGTGGAAAAATACAAAAATAATGCATTGATTTATCATTCAATGAGCAGATCTGGGGCCCATGTGATCATATCCTTGTATATACCACCCCACAATATGAGAATGATGACATCACTGCAGTTGGTTTAAAGTGATGATAATAAATGTAAAAGCACCTGGCATAGGGCTTGGCATATGATAGCAACTTGAAGAGCTATCGTCTGGTGGCCTTCTAACTCTAGATGTGGTTGTGATGTGACCCATTAATTAAATCCCATGTGTTTGTAATTAAATGTGCATTCCCTAGAACATGCAAAGTATGCTGTAACAGACAGAGAACAAGCAGGTGGTGTGATTTTTGTACCTGGTGGCAGGGAGTTTCAACACCATCTCTCCAGACGTGAGCAGTCATTTATACCTGAGTCTCAAGCTACTCGGTGCCTCCACTTAAAAGTGGAAATTGCCACCTACCTCTGGGATGTCCTTTGAAAAGCGAAGCATTCACACACACACACACAAAAGGAGGTCAAGAAGAGGTCCTAGAAAAACAAAGGAAACAATTAGGAGCTTCCAGACTGTGCCTTAAAAAAAATATCAGAATATTCCTATCATCAACTAAAATATGAGATCACTTAAAATGGGCGTCATTCCCTAACAATTGAGCTGGTAAATGAAATAAACATCAGCAATGGCCACTTGAACGCTTACATTACTGACAACAGAATAAGTATTGACTCTGAGTGAAGTATAAAGATATCCTGAGATCGACAGCAGAAAACCACAGTGTTTTCATACGAGCTAATGTGGTTGACCAGGTCATGAGTGCCAAGAGAATGTCAACTCTGTGCTCAGGACAGTGAACTCTGTTTCCCACGTCTCCTGCCCACTCTGACGGGAAAGACGCCCACGGTACAGATGCGGAGTGCAAAACTCCCTTGTTGCAGTGGTAGCACTATCCTAGAGTCCCTCCTAATCTCACTGCAGTTCTCCAAGTGAGAAAATAAAATGTTAAGAAAACAGAACTGGGGGAGGGAAGAAGGAACGTAATCAAGAAATGGTGATTATTTCAGTCATACCTTTGTGATGTCCCAACACTTCTTTGGGTAGAAATCTAATGAGGATATTATCAGACATAAACCCAGATGTACACATCTGGGCGGGGTTCATCTGTGCTGTGCAAGTGTGTTGCTATATTTACCTAATCCAGTCCATAGAAAAATATAAGTATTAAAGCAGCTACAACATGCTCTTGGAGGAGGAGAGAGGGTTTTCATTTTATCTTAGTTAACAGGCAAGAAAAGCAGAGTCATAAAACATCGAGGCAAAGAGAAAAATGTAATAGAATTCATGTTTTTTCCCCAAATAAACATTGAGTGAGTGTCCAACACTTTGCTAGCCATTAATAAAAGGGGTTGGGCTTTCAGAATAAATCACTTAAGTACTGGAGACCCTCACGGTACAGACTGGTGGCGGCTGGGATTAGCAGTGTGCAGAGATAATCGTTCCATCAACAATTGTAGTGATGATCGCAGAGGGAAAACCATTCTCTGCCTGGGAAACTCAGGAAAACCTGAGACTTAGCTGGGCCTTGAGAAACACTCCTGGCCAATGAGAACAGGAGCCCTGATCTCAATATGCAAACAAGGCTGATCAGGAAACACTCAGTTCTCCAACTAAGCAACTAAGTTAGGCTTAGAGAGACACCATTCTGCTCCCAGGTATGTCTCTCCCCTCTTGCTGGATCACTGAAGACTTTAACTGTAAAATAATTACCCAGCCAGTATTCTTATACGAAAAACACTATTTGTGGTGTGTTTCTCTATAATTGCCAAGTTCATGGGCATCAAAAAGGCATTCCTTATGGCTGCATAAAAGAAGAACGTGTATGTGTGTACGTATCCATATAACCACACTTTTAAATCTAAATGAATCTCTGAAGCATCGATCCTTGTTGGATCTCATGGTGGATTTTATAAAACAAGTTCAATAAATTTCTAACCAATTTAGAAACCACAATATTAAGACCCGCCCCCCAATAAATAAATGCTCACTATGTATCTTTTGAGTAGAGGATTCCTCCCTTGACTTTGTAGAACAAACATTTGATTGCATGAAACGTGCACCATTTAGTTCTGGGAAGATGAAGGCTGGTCCATTGCTATTATGGGGTAGGCTTTCTCCTAGAGAAAAGTTGGCAGTGATTTTGGCTTGCTTCATCTTATCTTTCCAGCCCATGCCAGCCGTGACATTTAATGAAAGCTAGCTGCGGCACCAGTTCCCAGGGGCAGAGATGTATGAAATCCACCGAAATTGATCCACAGTCAATTTTTAGAGAGATAGCTGATATAAAACAAGTTAACGATGCCCTCTGTAAAAATGCTGCATGAGCAGTTTAAAGGGAATATTTTTTTCTGGTAGGGGTTGGGGGGGAAGGATTCTGCAAATAGCAATAATGTATCTTGGGAAAATCCATATCATTGTTTATAGAATAGTCTACGGAATGGCAAACACCAAATACAATGAAATCATCAAATAGCATAAAATACATGACTTATAAGTTCAATGTGAGTCTCTGAACTCTTCTAACAATTTCCCATCCATTTCTTATTTACATATATTTCAGATTTTTACTTGTGTAATTTGTAAAAAGATAACAAGGCATGAAGGTTTTTGAAAGAGTACACTATCATTTTACACAGATATACTGTTGAGACTATTTATACAAAAGATTTCTTTGCATTTTTAGTGAAGATTTTAAGATAGCTGCAAACAAACTTTTTACAAAAGTGAAAGCAATTCCTATTTATCAAGTCAGTAACGGAAGACCAGCTCCGATGTGAGCCAAATACGTTAAACTGTCACTTAAGGTAGCTGGAACTTACTGCATCTTGCAAATTTTTCCCCATGAGCTGAAATGAATATGGCTGCATCCCTACAATTTGCAGAATAACTTGTTCACTCAGGTTTTCATGGATGCAGAGGAATGAGGAAACAATGCATAGTGGGGTACACAGTGTAGCCTGAAAGTTGAAACGTATATTATTTTATAGAAATATGCTTCATACCTATGGGCGATGACGTCCTCAGAGAAAAGGGTGTCCACTGGATTAAGTAGGAGGCACAGTGTTCACTTAAACGCATCTTTTGTGACTCCAATAATGGCTACACTGTTTTAAAGCAAAGTCCTATAGCACCAAGCCCAGCAGAGGGCTACGTCTCTCAATAGACAGGAATTCTCCCCACAAGGCATGAAATATAATACCTTCTGTCCGGAAAGCAAGCGATCACCTATCAGAAGCACATCTGTTCACGGGCAGCACACACCATTACGTAAGTGAGGCACCTGTTTTTGTTTCATGCTGATTGAGGACCTACAAAACAGGTTGGTTCAGAGCTTATCACCAACCTATAAAACTGATCAAAACCTGGCTGGCTCCACAGTGACAAAAATCACGCTGAGACCAGAACAGAATTTGTATGGTCAATACCGTGAGAGGTGAGAGAAGAGGACTTTGTTGCCCTATACGGATCTCTTGGGAGCTCGTCCCAGGTTCCTTCAGATTCGTTCCCACCGCCAGCTCGACCACCCCGTGCACGGGGTGCCGCGGCCTAGGCGAGCATTCCCTGCTGGAGCGTCATCTATTTCAGAGGAGGGAGGGTGAGGGAAGTGGCAACATCCGCTTTCTAATCTACAGAGAAAAATTGGAATTCCATTGACCGAGAGAGAGTATAGATTAAAAACAAAATATATAACAAAATCTCTAAATAAAATATAGAAATATAGAATATAAGCAAAAGAATAGTATCAAATAAAACTTTATGGTTTACCTTTCCAAAATAATGTTGTCTCAGTGTATCAGCCCTGGATCATTTTCCAGTCACGAAGGTACGCTCTCACTTCATCGCGGTGAGCTCTGGCAGTCACCGCCTTAACCACACACTCAGATTTAGCAGTAGGACAATTGACGTTGTAGGCCGTAGGACATCTTGACACTTCGATGCCTTTAATACCACCTGTGAAGTACTCCTAACCAATACATTTGACCTATATTTATTTAGGAGAAAATAGACAAATCCAGAAAGTGGGACATTTTATAAAACATTGCCATAGGCCTGGAACCTCCCAAAAAGTCAAATATCTTGATTTAAAAAATATATATGATAGACATGTATAAGGAAAACTGTAAACTATTACTGAAAGAAATTAAAGTTGATCTAAGTAAGAGAAATATATGCATTGTTGATGGGTTGGAAGACTCAATGTTATCAAGATGTAAATTTTCCCCAATTATTCTATAAATTCAATCCAATACCAATCAAAACCCCAACCAGGGGTTCTTGTAGAAATTGACAAGCTGATTTGAAATTTTATGCAAAAATACAGAGAATCTAGCTAAAACAACTCTAAAAAAAAAAAAAGAGCAAAATTGGAGGGATAATACCATTTACTTTCAAGAATTTTTATAAAGCTGTAGACATCAAAACAGGGTATTGGCATAAAGAAAGACAAACACATTGATGAAACTGAACAGAGTCCATAAGCAAACCTCGGATATGTGGACAACTGTTTCTGACAAAGGTGCAAACATAATGCCATGCAGAAAAAATGACCTTTTCAAGAAACGATGCTAAAACAACATTAGTATCCAAAAAAAAAGAAATAAGCTTAGATTCATACCTATGGCCATATGTAAAAACTAATGCAAAATGGATTGTAGATAATAGCATAAACTGCAAAACTTCTAGAACAGAAGGGAGGAATCTCTGAGACCTTGAGTTAGATGGTGGTGCCCTAGATACCTCCCCAAAAGCACAGTCCATAGCGAGGCTGACTGATTGATTGATTGCACTTCATCAACATTAGAAATTTCTCTTCTTCAAAAGACAGGGTTAAGACAATGAGAAAACAAGCCATAGACTAGCAGAAAAAAATTTTCAAGGCATACAGCTGATAAAGGTCCTGTATCTGGAATCTAAAAGCCCTCAAATTTCAGCAATAGGAAAACAACCAGATAAAAACAAGTGGGCAAAAAATTTGAACAGACATGTCGTCAAAGAAGATACAGTGCTATATTCAAGATTCACGAGGCCGCAGGACAGAGAGACAGAGTCACCGAGGCTGTAATTATCAAAAGGAGTTTTATTGTCTAGCTCAAGCTAGGGTCCGAGCCCCCAGAGTGCCAGCGCAGTGGCCTCTTCTCCGGGCAGGGACCTTCCTTTGTGTATTAGTCCCCTTTTTATAACTCAGTTGCTTACACACTGGTCATGCATCCACCCCATAGTGATTCTTACTTCATCCTGCCTGTGATAGGCCCTAACCTGTTCCGGGTCCTAGCCCAGAGACTCCGGTTTCCGCGTTCTTTGTCTTTCTCCTCTGCATCCCATAATGTACTCATAATGCCTTGCGGTTAGCAAGCAAGCAGTAAACAGGAGCTGGAAGGTGTCTATTGTCCTTATAGCCCAGTATCTTACAATAGTAATGGCAGACAGCCACATGAAATTTGCTCAATATCACTGGTAGTAGGAAAATGAAAATTGAACCCACAATTAGATTTTACTACACCTCTATTAGAATGGTTAAAGTTAAAAAAAAAAAAAAAAACGAATGAACACTTTAAGTGTTGGAGAGGATAGGAAGGAACTAGAACCCTCATACACTGCTGATAAAGAATGTAAAATGGTGCTACCATTCTGGAAAATACTTTGGCAGTTTCTTAACAAGTTAAGCCTGTACCTACCATAAGATCCAGCCATTCCTCTCCTAGGTATTTACACCCCACACACACAAAGTGAAAAATACGTACACACGAATTCTTATACATGAACATTCATGACAGCAATCACCAGAACTAAAAACAACCCACGTGTCTGTCAAAAGATGAAATAAATTGCAGTATATCTGTTCAATGGAATACTACTCAGTAGTAAAAATGAACTATTGATACACGCAACACGGTGAATCTCAAATTTATTATGCTGAATGAAAGAAGTTAGTAAGGTAGTAGATATTACAAGATTTCATGTATATAAAACTGCAGAAGTTTGCAGTGTCAAAAAGCACATCAATGGTTGCTTGGGCAAGAGGGGAGAATTTAAAAAGATGCAAGGAAACTTCTAGAGGTGAAATATAACCATGTTGATTGTAGTGATGATGTCACTATTATACATATGTCAAAATTCATCCAATCTCTAGATATGTGCCATCCCTTGTGTATTGATTACACCTCACTAAATCTGTTGAAAAACCACTGGTGGGGAGATTCTTCTAGATTATAAGTCTAAAGAGCTATACAACCAAATGCAATGCATGGACCTTGATTGGATTTTGGATCGGGGGTGGAGGGAAGAATTCTATGAGACATTTTTGGAAGAAATGGAGGAACTAGGCTTTGTATCATACATATCAGGTATGAAACAAATGTATATCCTAGATATTATAAAATTGTTACATTTCTTAGGTATGACGATACTGTGTTTATGCAAAAAAATGTCTATTTCTTTAGGCGATGCCTATGGAAATAATAAAAGCGTGAATTATTACAATGTAGGTGACTTTTAAATAGTTTAGCTACGAGAGCATAAAAAAAAAACACAGAAAAGAATTATGGCAGGGCATTTGCAGGTCGTGAATCTGGAAAAGGAACATACAGATGTTCTTTGTCCGATGTCCAACTTCCTGAAAATTTTAAAAGGTTTCAAAATAGAAATCTAGGGAAAACATATGCATTGCATATATCTAGGTACAAAAACTAAAAGGGGAAGGGGTATCTCAGTTCACAGGCAGTCACGCACGGGACGGCGGAAACAGGGTCTGGGAGACAAGGCGCCTTCCTGGAGAGATGCTGATGGTGCCTAGCACCCTCTGTAAATGGTGCTGGGTGCTCGGTTGACCATCGAGGTAAGCGCTAGAAAGGGAATTAATTATAGAATAGACTGTCTTTAGAAAACTCTTGGTTTTGATGGGAACTGGGATGCCCATGGGGGTTCTAAGTGATGCCCTCATGCAGGGCTGCAGGGCTGCAGGAAAGCACACGGGCAGGAGGTTTACTCGGGACTGCCTTTGGCCTCAGCACCAGCAGGGAGGAGGGAGGAACAGGGGCTGGGATGCGGACTCGGTGGGTCTCAGCTGGCCCTACTCGGGAAGCTGCTCTCCACAGATGTGCCCACCTGGGCACAGGGCCTCGGCCAGCATCTCCCAGTCCTTGCTGGCAGGGGCCCCAAAGAAGAGGGCAGGACCTTAGACAAGTCTAGTGCCTTCGGCCAAAGAGAGCTGATGGCGAGGAAAGAGGGAGGTCTTGTCCTACCATACAAAGACAGTAACAAACATTGTGAGACATTCAATGACTACTTGAAACTCAAATATCTCCAATTAATCTTCCTGATATGGCTCAAAGTTCCTCCCTCCTCCTCTATGCTTGGTTTCCTTGGTCTACGCTTGACCGCCTCCGGTTGGTGAAGTCCACACCCCGACACAGGCCGGCAGAGCCCTCCGGCACCGCAGCCTGTTCCTGCTTCAGACAATACTCACGTCCCCTTGTGCGTTTGCTCTTCACCCTTCCCCTCCGCTTTCTCAGGCGCAGCTTCTATCACCTGGGCATCTGCCTAGGTGTAAGCATGTGCACAACAGGGAAGAAAGATACAGCAAGGATGCATTCTTTCGACAAAAAGTTAGATTTGGCAATGCAACTAGATACAGTTTCAACTACAGACGGAGGATATTTGCCCATTATTCTTACTAATATGGAATTAAATGTAGCACACACACAAACGTGCACTTTGTGGTAAAGAACCAGAATTTCCTGTCAGTTCCCTTTAGAAATATTAATACTTAGAAGCTATTTGTTTTTCTAAGCACTGGCAGTGAAATCCTTAGAGAATGAGAAATTAAGCAGTTTTACAATCTACTATTTTATTACATAGGCTTTTTAGTTGAAAGTGAAAGTCAGTGTACCAGAATGGTCTTTACAGTCCAAAGACCTCAACTTTCGTCGTAGCTTCACCCTTGATTACTTTGTCCCTGAACAAGTCAGGTAACTTTCTCAGGAAACTCAGGATTTTGAATTAATATTCACTATGGGAATTCACTTCAAGAACCCAAATCTACCCAACATGTATTTACATCTCAAAAAGAGGGTCAGATTTACTCATCAGGATTTTTACATGTGCACCTTATTTGATATATATATATATATATATATATATATATATATATATATAGAGACAGAGGCTCACTGTGTTGCCCAGGCTAGAGTGAATGCCCTGGCATCAGCCTAGCTCACAGCAACTTCAAACTCCTGGGCTCAAGTGATCCTCCTGCCTCAGCCTCCCGAGTAGCTGGGACTACAAGCATGCACCACAAAGCCAGGCTAATTTTTTTTCTATTTTTACTTGTTCGGCTAATTTCTTTCTATTTATAGTAGAGATGGGGTCTTGCTCTTGCTCAGGCTGGTCTCGAACCCCTGACCTTGAGTGATCCTCCAGCCTCGGCCTCCCAGAGTGCTAGGATGACAGGTGTGAGCCACCGCTCCCAGCCGAGGTACTATTAATTGTATTATTATCATATATATTATACATTATATTATTAATACTATAGTTTATCTATAGTATTAATTATACTATTATATTACTATAAATACTATACTAGTATTATAGTATACCAATAATACTATAAATACTATAAACTAATAATAGTTTTTAATGATACTATAGTTTCAATAATACTATAGTTTACCTATAGTATTAACAATATAGCCAACCGGGTAACAGACTGGATACAAAGTGCAAAATGTGGGGAACCTGCAGGTATTAAAGAATAATCCTTAAGGTTCCAATTTGTGCAACTGAGTAGACGGAGATAACAGTTCTCAAGAAAAGAAAAATTCACAGAGAGGCACATTGTAGAGGGAATGCCCTGTTTTTGACATTTTCCAAAAAAGCCCCTTCGATTGTCTCAACAGCCCAGTGAGGTTGAAAAAGAGGAGGATCCCTACCTCAAAGACGGTAAATAAAACATCTAGTTGCACAGAAACGAGAATAACTTTCTCAGGAACTTCTGCACGCACCTGCTAGGTGGCCCGGCATCGCAGAGGAGACGCTTTGTGTTTTCTTCCTCTTGCCTCCCCATCCCTGCCCCTGACAAAGTATGGGGATTCCATAAACCAAAACTGAATAGACAATTTGCCTTCAAAAATTTTTTTATGATGCATTTATCTATTTTTCTTAGAGTTATATCAAAGTGTGATATAGTTTCATTTTAGGTCTATTGTCAGAAACAATAGACCTTTGTCTAAGAATTTTTTCCCCAAATTATAAGCACTCTATACATGAGCCTAGATAATTTCTGGGTTGTGGGAAGACAGCAATTTACTCACATTCCTGTCACTGAACCATTTTGGATCATCTCTTTTGTACTTTCTAAAGAAGGTGTGCTTTCAAAATATGTATTAATGATTTTTTTTAAAAACTCCAAAAGAGATTAGCATTGCAAAAAACAAAAGACATATAGGGGGGATCTCAGTTGAGTCAAAGTCAGGAGCTTTATGTCAAAAAAAGAATATTCAGTGCCTGAACTCTTCCCCCAGTTGTCATGGCAACCATTGCATTTTTTTTCCTCCCATTGTGAGGAGACAATTAGGTGCTAACCTGGGTGTTGTCCCAAGCTGTTTGAAAGAAAGGCTCCCATGCTTCCAAAACATTCAGGGTTGCTGGATTTTCATTGTTGCTGCAGGCTCTATAGGAGTCATTGTTGATAGTTGTGCCTTACTGTTTCGTGAATGTATCAAAAATTGGGTAGGAAATGCTGGCAGCTACCCCTGGGCAACACAGTCCCCTCCTCCCAGCTCGGGCCAGTTTGGGAAGCACTCACCGAGTGGAACCTGGGGGCTCTGGGAGTCTCAGCAGCACCGTTGGCTCTCTGTTCTCAGTGACTGCTCCAGGGCCTGGAGATTGGAAAGGGAACCTCTGTCTGTGTCTGCCCAAGGCTTCCTTCCTCAACGATGACAATTCAGTCTTTCTATTCGCCACAGTGGTGGCCTAAACAGATGGGGGCTTCTTGGGTTTTTTTGGGGGGAGGGTGAGAGATAGAAATTAACCAACCTCTTTCTCTTGCACTTAGGTATGAGTGGTGGAATTTGCTTTGAGAACTTGCAGGTCGGATGGTGTGACCTAGTCTTGGTTAGAGTCTTGCTGAGGAAGAGCAGCTTCAGTGGATATCGGAAGGGTGAACAGGGTCACAAGGTGGGTGGGCTGGAGAACAGCCCAAGGAAAGGGGAAGCGCAGGCAAAGGCCCTGTGGCAGAGGACAGCACAGAACGTTCAGGGATATCAAGAAGGCCGGAGTAGCTTAGGGGTAGGGTAGCGGGCAAGATGAAACATGAGACGGAAATGAACGAGAGACTTCAGATTTGCCATGGATGTATCAAATGAGTGAGGATCATCTCATGCATCACACAAATACCAAACCTGGTTCCTTGTGCCTGGTGTTAAGATGCCAGGTAAATTAAAGATGGCCCATGCCTTTGATTCGCTCACTTCTAGTTGCTCTCTCCCTTCCTGACTCCCACAAAACATTCTGGTTCTGTCACTGTCATATGCTATTACCGTGTTTCCCCCAAAATAATACAGGGGCTTATATTTATTTTTCCTCAAGGACACACCCTAGGGCTTATTTTCAAGGGATGTATTATTTTTTTAAGTACGGTACAACCATCTACATTGATTCAAATAGAGTGAAGTCGTCTTCTTCTGGAGCATCATCACTCTCCAAACCCCGAATCCCATCCTGAATGTCTGGCGACTCTGTTTCCTTTAGAGCCATCGGCCCCGATCTCTCCTGCCGAGCACTAGAGCTGTCACGGGGCGGAGGAGAAGGGCTGCTCGTGTCCTTTCCCGCTCCGCGACGACACGCACGGGTTGTGCAGACGCTGCGCAGCCACGCCCGTCACTAGGGCTGATTTTCGGGGTGGGGCTTCTATTGCGCACGTGCTTAGACATCCTACTGGGGCTTATTTTGTGAGTAGGGCTTATTTTCGGGGAAACATGGTACTTGCCTAATTTTGTGAGCACTGAAGCCCAGGAGGCTGGGTCAGCTCTTGCTCAGGCTGGTCTTGAACGATCCTCCCACCTCGGCCTCCCAGAGTGCTAGGATTGCAGGCGTGAGCCACCACGCCCGGCCAAGGTACTATTAATTATATTATCATATGCATTATACATTATTAATACTATAGGTAATATTAGCCAACCGGGTAACAGATTGGATACAAAGTACAAAATGTGAGGAAACTGCATATATTAAAGAATAATCCTTATGGTTCCAATTTGTGCAACTGGGTAGACGGAGATAACAGTTCCCGAGAAAAGAAAAATCCAAACCCAGCACTGCACTCCTGACTCCAAGTCTAGCGCACCTTGCCTATCTTTTGCTGCTCAGGGATGTACAATATATAGAACACGAACATGCAATCCAGCAAGGGGACACTTATTAAAGAAATTAGACAGTGAGGCTGGGCACGGTGGCTCATGCCTGTAATCCTAGCACTCTGGGAGGCCCAGGAGGGAGGATCACTCAAGGTCAGGAGTTTGAAACCAGCCTGAGCAAGAGTGAGACCTCGTCTCTACTATAAATAGAAAGAAATTAGTTGGCCAACTAAAAAATATAGAAAAAATGAGCCGGGCATGGTGGCGCATGCCTGTAGTCCCAGCTACTCGGGAGGCTGAGGCAGGAGGATCGCTTGAGCCCAGGAGTCTGAGGTTGCTGTGAGCGAGGCTGACGCTACGGCACTTGCTCTAGCCTGGGCAACAGAGTGAGACTCTGTCTCAAAAAGCAAAACCCAGAAATCACACAATGGATTAGTAATCACAAGTTGTGACTGACGGAATGAAAGGAGGTGACGCACTCTGTAAGCGAGTAACAGCGGCTGAGCATCGGGTAGACTTGGGGGCCAGAGGGGACCTCAGCCTCAAGACAAGCAGGAAGGAGCCAGGTAAAGATGGGAGGGAACAGCACGGAAGGCAGAGGGAACATCATGTGCGAAGGCCTTGAGGGTGGGCCGAGCATGGCTCAGAGAAGGGGCCAGGCTGGCAACGGGGCCTCCCCCAGAGCTGTCTGGACCGTGTTGGGTTTCTATGTTCATCCAAAACGTGGCGGGAAGTCGAGCTGGTGCAGAGACCTGGGAAAACCTGCCTCTAGGGTTCTGGCAAGGAGCCTAGGGAGGCCGGGAAGGAAGGCTCAGAGGAGGTGTGAGGACAGAGGCCTGGGTGGAGGCCCTCGAGTGTGAGTGGTTAGGACTAGGAATTTTAGGTCCTCGATCCAGCACCTTGCAAATATAAAAGCAAAGGGAAATGGATCTTATGGGAAAGGCAGGATCAAAGCCGGAACCACTCACTCAGCCCCTGCTCCCTGGCCCAGCTCTCCTCCCTCTCACTGTCCCTCTCGGCAGGAGCGGGCGTCATTGTCCCGCCCACTCTCGGGCCCTCCCTGTTCCACTGAGGAGCATGGACTGAGTGACTGACGGTCCACGATTTTCTCGACAGTGTCATTTCAGCCATTTGTTCCTCTGGGCCTTAAAATATCACGAGAGGCCGAGGGGCTTGGTGAGGCGTTAAAAGTGCACAGTGAGGCCCCACGCGGTGGCTCACGCCTGTCATCCCAGCACTCTGGGAGGCCGAGGCGGGGGAGATCGCTCAAGGTCAGGAGTTCCAGACCAGCCTGAGCAAGAGCGAGACCCCGTCTCTACTATAAATACAAAGAAATTAATTGGCCAACTAAAATATATATAGAGAAAAAATGAGCCAGGCATGGTGGTGCATGCCTGTAGTCCCAGCTACTCTGGAGGCTGAGGCAGGAGGATCGCTTGAGCCCAGGAGTTTGAGGTTGCTGTGAGCGAGGCTGACACCACAGCACTCTAGCCTGGGCAACAGAGCAAGACTGTCTCAAAAGAAAAAGAAAAAAAGCGTACCGTCACCCCTGCATGGGCAGTTCATCTGGCCAGGTCCCAGCTGTTCTGTGATCTTCCCATCAGCAGGGAGGCCTCCCTGTCAGCATGGAGGTTGAGGGGCAGCCTGCGTACCCAAGCACGTTGCCACGCTGGGGCAGGGGCCGGGCAGGGAAGCAAAGGCATGCACAGGGAAAGCAAGGGCTGGTGCAAGGCGGAATAAAGGAAGTTGAAGGGGGCGGGTCAGGATCCGAGCTCAGTGGCGAGATGGGAAAGATAAAGCCAAAAAGGTACACCAGGGTCAGCAGTGCGACGCCCAGAACTCAGAGCAGCAAAGACAGCACTGGTGATTACGTTGATCAAAACCAATCAGTTCACCAGGAAGCCGTCGTCAGTGGCTTTGAGAACCGAGATAGAAACATACTTTGTGAGAATCTGACACTGTCTTTTGGGAATGACACTCACGGGTCCAGTTGCTACGAGCACGTTACGGGTCCAACGTGAAATGCCTGAATATGCCCAAGAAATGCTGAGGACGTTTGCTTCCTAACTGCTCATTTTGGCATCAGTGTGTTCATTTCATTCTTTTTATGTTCATTAGAACGATAAAGATGACTTTCAAAGCCGGAAAGGTTAGACAGCCTTGCACTCGTGAGAATGGACTGTTTCCACCACATCTTCAGAAGCTGGCTACTTTAAGCTCAGGCTCCGTTTTTCTGTTAGAACTGCCGGTTGACTCATAAAGTAATGCAGAGCATCACCCTGCATCACCCGGGGCATCCTCAGTGACGCACAGGCCGGCATTTTCACATCATGACGCAGAACCTGCTGTTTGCTACAACAAAGGCTGTTAGGCTCAGTGTTTTTTGTTTGTTTGTTTGTTTTAGACAGAGTCTCACTGTGTTGCCCAAGCTACAGTGAGTGCCGTGGCGTCAGCCTAGCTCACAGCAACCTCAGACTCCTGGGCTCAAGCGATCCTCCTGCCTCAGCCTCCCGAGTAGCTGGGACTACAGGCATGCGCCACCACGCCTGGCTAATTTTTTCTATGTATTTTTAGTTGGCTAATTAATTTCTTTCCATGTATAGTAGAGACGGGGTCTCGCTCTTGCTCAGGCTGGTCTCGAACTCCTGACCTTGAGCCATCCTCCTGCCTCGGCCTCCCAGAGATGCTGGGATGACAGGGTGAGCCCCCGCGCCCGGCCGTTAAGTTCAGTCCGGATGAGTACTGCAGAGCACGCCAAGGGAACCTGGCAGAAGTGTGGTCTCTCGGGCTGGCTGCGGGGAGAGCGCCTTGCCTCTGTGGGCTCAATCCCTGCAGGGCAGAGAAGAACACTCCGGGGCTCTCCCGGCAGCAGGAATGGCGCGTGGCCTTTTGGATAGCACAGCGGAGCAACAGCGCCAGTGCTGGTGACAGAAAGAGGGGAACGCCACCTGTCCTGCCATTCGGTGGGGAGTGGAAATCTTGAAAATCAAAATTGCAGGTTCATTTTAGCCCTTGCTACTCTTGAGAGGAAAAAAAAAAAAGAGGAAAAAATAAAAATTGAAAAAAGAAAAAAATATTTTAAAAAAATTGCAGGTTCAGAGGGCCGGCGGGGGAGAGGGATCCTGGGTGGCAGGAGTGTGTGGGCTGCGCTTGCGCACGCCCGGCAAAGCCGGGAGTGACTGGTCTAGAAGACTCCGCGTGGAGAGGGGCCGGGGCTCCCCGGATGGCGCCAGGCGGGGGTGCACACTGGGCGTCCCCAAGGGTGTGGGCGGTCGGCACCTCAGCCTCTCTCCGATCACACTGCACGGGGACAGACGCGGCCTCAGGAGAGCAGAGCTCGGAGATGCGGGCGGTGTGGAGCATGAACAGCCACTTGTCTCACGTCCCAGAGACCCGACTGCATTCCCCTGGAGCGCTTGCCTTCCGTCCACCCAAATAAAGCATGCAATTGTGTGTAGACGTGATACTGTGTCTCCCTGGAGATGGTAAATGAGGAAATAATAATAAAAACACACACACACATAGTAAAATTAGTTCTTATCCAATAACCCTCTAGTTGCCTCCATTATTTATATAAATAGTTTTTATTTTTTGATTTTTTTTTTATTTTAGCATATTATGGGAGTACAAGTGTTAAGGTTACGCATATTCCCCTTGTCCCCCATCGAGTCAGAGCTTCAAGTGTGTCCATTCCCCAAACACTGCATGTCTCACTCGTTGTGTTTGTATACACCCCTCCCCTCCTCCCCCTCCCACCTGCGCGACTCCCGATAGATGTCATTCCTGTATGTCCACTGGGGTGCTGATCCGTTAGTACCAGTTTGCTGGTGAGTGCACGTGGTGCTGGTTTTTCCATTCTTGGGATACTTCACTTAGTAGGATGGGCTCCAGCTGTATCCAGGAAAACACAAGAGGTGCCGGATCACCGTTGTTTCTTACAGCTGAGTAGTGCTCCATGGTGTACACGTGCCACATTTATCAATCCACCCATGTATTGATGGGCCCCTGGGC